TAATTTTTCTATTTTTAGTAGAGATGGGGTTTCACCATGTTTAGCAGGCTGGTCTTGAATTCCTGACCTCAGGTGATCCACCTGCCTTGGCCTCTCAAAGTGCTAGGATTACAGGCGTGAGCCACCACGCCCGGCACCACGTTCATTTTTCTAGGAGAGAGTTTGTAGCTTCTGTTAATGTTCCAAAGGGTTTGGTGACCCCCCCACAGAGTATAATGGCCCACTTCTGGTTGGTTGTGTGTGTGTTCCTCTACATGTATGTGAGCATATTTATGACATTTTTAGTGTTCTTCGCTTCTCATATGGGGAGAATGGTGCCTCCCTCAAAGGGCTCTGGTGAGATTAAAGGAGAGATTTGTAAAAACTCTTAGAATAGCACTTGGCTTGTACTAAGGAGCCTTAAGGTTTGGTTATCACCTTGTGTTTGTTTCTGGGAGTATGTGAGGGGTATGTTTCTGGCCATGTGTCTGTGTGTGTCTCTCTCTGGCCTGTCTTCTGGTCTCAGCCTGAGGTCCACAGCCTTCAAGATCTCAGGGGGGAAAACAAAACCAAATGGTATAGAAACTGTGAATGGGACCAACGCAATGAGAAGGGAGGGTCTATGGCTTCCACTGATTCTCAGAGGCGCAAGGAACCCCCAGTAGGTTCTAAACCACACGCTCAAAGTTAAATAAGAACAAAGGGAGCTGGAAAAACGTGAGACAGAGACAGAGAGCCTTTCTGTTTACTTCAGTATTTCTTAGTATGCACATCAGCGTTTCTTAATACGCAAACCTTGGAAAGGCCATGTCAAGGGCGAGTTTTCAGGCATTCCCGACACCTGTCAAGTTGTTGGACAAGTGTGTCTACCTGAAGGTGTCTGGAAAAGGGTCCACATCCCTTTGGCACATCCAGAAGGTGGGGGACATGAGCTTAGAAACAGGCGGGCCTCTGGGCGGGTTCTTCTGTCACTATTTGTGTGACTTTTTCCACAACGGCCTGATGCTTATCTCCCTCCCGTCATGCCCTCTCTGGGGCTGTCTGTTTGGACACCTTTTGGAATTTCTTTGGCTGCAATACCCTTTTGGCTTGGGTTATAGATTTCTTTCTGCCCCCTGGCAACCCTGCCCCTGGCTTTGTCTCTGTCTGTACCTGGCAGACACAGTTTCTCTCCTTTTCTTCTTTTTTTGGCTTTCTTCCATTTGCTTAACTTCCTGTCTCTGTTTGAATCTGATCCCTCCCCAATCTTTCCGGCTCCTTCTTTCTTTTCATCTCCTTCTAAAGACACCTTATTTGTCTTGTTCATTCTTTGTTCCTTTCTTCTTATGTCACTCTCTCTTTTTTCCCCCCCATTTATTTTATTGCATTTTAGGTTTTGGTTTTCCTATCTCTTATTCTGTTTCTCTCGTTCTTTCTCCCCCCTCCTTCCTTGTCCTCCTCTCCCTCCTCTTATCCCCTCGCTTCTCCTTATGTGTCTCTGTGTGTCTCTCTCTCTTCCTCTCCCCATATTGTCTCATGTTCACCCACTTCTCTCTTTCTGCCACTATCTCCTTATCTCTGTCTCTCAGTGTGCTCCTTCTTTGTCCCTAACTCGGTTTCTCAGTCTCATTATCTTTGTTACTTATCCGTCTCTGTCCTTATTTCCCTACATCTCTGCCTCTCTTAAAGCTTAGGATAGCAAAATTAAAAGAAGACATTGATGCTCAAGCCACCACCCCATGTGTTCCCAACTCTCACTGAAGATAAAATGGGGCTGGGCGTGGCGGCTCACACCTGTAATCCCAGCACTTTGGGAGGCCAAGGTGGGTGGAACATGAGGTCAGGAGTTCAAGACCAGCCTGGCCAAGGTGGTGAAACCCTGTCTCTACTAAAACTACAAAAGTTAGCTGGGTGTGGTGGCAGGCACCTGTAATCTCAGCTACTTGGGAGGCTGAGGCAGGAGAATTGCTTGAGTCAGGGAGGCAGAGTTTACAGTGAGCTGAGATCACACCACTGCACTCCAGCCTGGCAGCCTGGGTGACAGAGCAAGACTCCATCTCAAAAACAAAAAAAGAAAGAAAAGGAAAAGAAAATGGGGAAGGAGGCCACTGTACAGCACAAAACCAGGGGCTGGGCCAGGACCCAGGATCACTGAAGTCACTGATGAAACTCAAGTCTGGGGGGTTGTTTCTGAGGCCTTTCATGGAAGGTGCATGTTAAATTAAATTTGTCCTAAAGCGGCCTCCCTACATAACAAACTGGAACCTAACTCAATATGTAAACAAACTGCAATGTAACTTGAGAATATATTCTTGTAGCAAGTAACCTTGGCCAAGGTTACAGAGCAGCCACACTTCAGCCAATCACAGGCTGCGAGCTGCCCAGACACGCTCAGATAAGGCAAACACAGGGCTGTAACCAATCAGGCTGTTTCAGTATGTCACTTCCTTTGTGGGTAAACACTGCCTGACCATGTTGCTGGTGGAGCTCTCTGAACCTTTATGGGCTCAGCGTGCTGCCGAATTCATGAATTGTTTCTTTGCTCAAATAAACTCAGCTAAGTTTCATTTGCTGAAAGTTTTTCTCTTAACCAGCCAAAGAGTGGAGAACGGTAACTGGGACAAGTCAAAGCATGTCAAGACCTTCTCCACCTTCCCAGTGCTAGAGCATAAATCCAAACTCCTCCCGCAGCCTTCAAGGTTCTGCCCAGCTGAGCTCTTTATCTTATTTCCTTCTGCAATCTATACCCGAGGCTCACTGGACGTCCTGTGGCTTCTCAACTGTACCATCCCATTTCCACCTTTGCCCTTTGCCCTTGCTGTTTCCTTTGCCTGGAACACTCCTTACAGTGGTTGATTGACACTCACCCATGAACATCTCAGCTTGGAAGCTAGTTCCTCTGGGAAGCTTCTTCTTACTGACCCGCCACAAGATTAGCTAGTATTTCCTCTTTTGTGCTCCCAAGCTCCCTTTAGAGCGCTTATCACAATTATGTGTAATGATAATAATTGCCCTTGTGAGCATCCTGTTTGTGTTGGGCAGTGCTAAGCATGTTGCAGGCATTCGTTCATTTCATGAGATGATCATTGTATTTTTTTTTTGAGGAATGCCCATCTTCCCTGCTAGACTGTAAATTTCCTGGAGCAGGAACCGTGTCTCTGTGTGATTTGTTTGATGCGTTATCTTCAGCCCCCAGTAGAGCACTGGGCTTAGGGGAGTGCTCAACAATTTTTTTTTTAAAGAAAATTGTTGAGAAACATTAAGTTTACCGTGCCCCATGGCTCCTTTATGGAAGTTACTTTTCGTTTGTAATTAGTGGTAGGTGGGTAACAGCTGCCTACCTGGTATGTTCCTGAGTTATGTGTATACGTAGAACACCTGTGTATTAATAAGAATCACTTGTCAAAGAGCAAATAAATGCGTGGATGAATCTCTGCTCAGCACCTTCGGTCTGGAGAGCTGTCAGCCCCACAGGCTGTCAGGCTGTTGGTCCCCAGATAGATCCATTCTCCTGTGCTATCTGGGTGTCTGCCTCTCAATACCTTCAGCCTGCCTGGGCAGGGGGGTCTCCCGACTGAGCTGGTTCTCGGTAGAAAGTGAATTCACTGAGGTTTAGCAACGTTACAATATTTGCCCAAAGTCCTGCTTGCCAAGATGTGCCTTTGGGAATGTAATCTCCTTTCTAAAGCCCCCTTCCAGGGTTGTAGTGAACATGGAATGGGATGAAGCAGGTGAAGCAATTGTAATATATTAAGTGCTCAATAAATAAGGAACAATCATTGTTTTTCTCAAGTTGAGGATAGGACTTGCCCCCTGGTGTCTGGGAAAGAAACTGTGGGTCCCACTTACCTAAGGAGAAGGGAATAAAAGCTTCATTCTTCTTCAGTGCCCCATTGGCATCCAGAAAGTGGTCAGGATTGAAGGTGTCTGGTTTTTCAAAGTAGTGTGGGTCGTGGAGAGCAGTGCTCAGGATGGGAAATACTTCCGTGCCCTGAGGGAGCGTCACAAGATCAAAAGATATTCCCATTCCCTGCCCAACCTCCACACACACACACCACATAAAAAAAAGAAAAAAAAAAAAACAAACAGAAACAAAAGGACTCAATTGAGAAACCAACAAAAGGTCGAGTTTGGGGATTAAGAGAATCCAGAATGCCGACACAGGAGAGATGTGGGGGTCCAGCCAGTCTTACCTTGGGGATGGTGTACCCTCGGAAGCTCGTGTGTTGGGTGACCACGTGGGGCAAACCGATGGGGAGAAGGTCGGCAATTCTCTGAATCTCATGGATGACTGCGTCTGTGTATGGCATTTTGGCTCGGTCATCCAATGCTGGAGGGCGATGTGGGCCAATCACCTGTTCAATCTCCTTGTAGACTCTCTCTGTGCAGAAAAGAAGACAAATGAACCCCATTTTAAAGAGATATTTCAGGCTGGGCATAATGGCTCATGCCTGTAATCCAAGCACTTTGGGAGGCCAAGGAGAGCAGATTGCTTGAGGTCAGAAGTTTGAGACCGGCCTGGTCAACATGGTGAAATCCCAACTCTACTAAAAATACCAAAACGCAGCCAGGTGTGGTGGGGCATGCCTATGGTCCTAGCTACTCAGGAGGCTGAGGCAGGAGAAGCGCTTGAACCCAGGAGGTGGAGGTTGCCGTGAGCCAAGATTGTGCCACTGCACTTCAGTCTGGGTGACAGAGCAAGACTCTGTCTTAAAAAAAAAAGAAAGAAAGAAAAATTTAAAAAAAGAAAGAGAGACATCACAGCAGGGACACTACTTTCTATTGACCAATGAAAAACCTATAGTAAAGGGTTAGATCCTTGATACCCCTCAAAGTAATCAGCATGGAGTGAAGGAAGGAGAGAAGAAGCAATGAGAATTCTCATGGCTTGAAATCTAATGATATTATGGATCCATTTCACACATGCATGCACACACACGCATGCACACACGCACATGCATGCACACACACATCACAATTTTACATGGAATTTCAGATTGAGAACTCCAGGCTAGAAACCTCTCAAAACTCCCTAAGATGAGTAGAAAATGAATAAATATTTACTGTGTGTATATTTTAGGTGAGGCACTATACATGGTCCTCAGGAATATAATAGTGTAATAGAATAATAAATGAATCCATGAACAACTGGATAGATAAATACATCAATCAGTCAATCAATAGATCAATTCATGGGTGGAAAGACTGATGAATAAATGAACAAACCAATAAATGGATGTATATATTTATTTATCAATTAATAGATGGATTGATTAATTAATCACTAATGAATGGCTAATGAATAGACAAGGAAATCAATGAGCCCAATTAATGAATAATCACATGAAGGGCTAGATTTATGGAACAACAGGTGAATAAGTAAATTCGTGAAGTATGAATAAATAAAGGAATAAACGAATGGCTGGATTGAATGATAAATCAGAGTTGAATAAATGAGTGAATTATTGTAATAAATGAAGGAATACATGGGTGGATTACGGGGGAATTGAAATACTGACTGATGGAAGGATAAGGGTAAAATCTAGTTCATAGAAGGATGGATGAATGCATGAATGAGTCAATCAATGACAAATAGTCCATCTATTTGTCAGTGTTTCAAAGGATCAACTTGTGGATCAAGTAATCCAAATAAATGAATGACAGTATACGCCCTTGGATGAATTATAAACGAAAGAATCAGTGAGTATACAGGTGAATTAATGAATTAGAATGAATTCTTTAGAATGAATTGATGAAAAGATACACGGATGAATGAATCAATTTTTAAGTGATGGCTCAGAAAGTCAAATATCGCATGTTCTCATTCATATGTGAGTGCTACAAAATGTGTACACATGAACGTAGAGAGAGGAATGATAGAGAGTGGAGACTCAGAGAGTGAAGGAGCAGAAGGGGGGTTGAATGATGAGAAATGACTTAATGGGTACAATGTATGTTGCACAGGTGATAAATACCCTAACAGCCCTAACTTGACCACTATGAAACCTATGCATGTGCCGGGCGCGGTGGCTCAAGCCTGTAATCCCAGCACTTTGGGAGGCCGAGGCGGGTGGATCACGAGGTCAGGAGATCGAGACCATCCTGGTCAACATGGTGAAACCCCGTCTCTACTAAAAATACAAAAAATTAGCTGGGCATGGTGGCACGTGCCTGTAATCCCAGCTACTAAGGAGGCTGA